TAATATCAAATAACATATTAGAAATATATACACCAAACTATAACCTGACAATTACACCGGAAAACATGGTAGAAAATATAATTACAACACCAAACATAAATTTAACAAAAATATCGCAAAACTCGTCCGAACTACTACAACTAAAAGCGCAACTAGCCGATATACAAGAGAATCTAGACCAAAACCCATGGTCAAACCACATAAATATAATTTACACCACTGCGCCCGGCGTAACAGTATTTATAATTTTAATTGTAATAATAATGATAATAGTAAGAAAAATAAAAAAGAAAGGAGACCCACCAGTAATAGTAGAGCGAAACAGTCAGCGAAATATAAGAACACGCTCTAAACCAATAATACCCACAATCCCTGCGTTAGCACGCAGCACAGCTTATACGCATAAGGTATAAATAGTACACGATTGTAATTACATTTATATACGGGAAAACAAATTTATAACACGAATACAATATAATAAAGTATAACAAGTACAAACGATTATAACCATAATTGTAAACGGAAACAAAACAAAATGTATATAGAATAAGGTTGCGAAAACCTCGCTAGACACTCCGTTTTCTTTTCCCAAGAGGGGAGGAATGTTATAATCGCGAATAGTATTAGCGTTTTCGAAACACTTCATGAGGAATCGTTTCGATTGCGTCACAACAAGGAAGCGGATGTGCAAGTGCTGCGATAAGCACCACCTTGCACATTCCGCATTTCGGACCCCGATTCGAAACGCATTAAATCATTACCAAATATGGTAATCTTCTTGTCGCCAGGCACCCCCTCCGACAAGACTGAACAATATTATAAAAGAGAGGTGAAGACTGCCCGCGTTAGACTTAACACCTCGGTCTCTCGCCGCGACATACGCAACCGACGTGTGGTTTGCACATTACTAATAAAACTCGGGAGTAGTAATTAAACACGTTCAAGTGTAGCTACAAATAAATCTTTTATATTTAAACTACAAGAAGTAGTTACAATTTCTGACTACATTTTTACCCACCGTCACACACCCTGCCGCGCCCGCATCACCGATTCCGAACTCTTTTCGCGTCCCGGCAACACGGAGCACGACAAATATTACTGATATATTGATTGTAATATTACAGCAATATTGTAAGATTAGTACAATATTGATATAATATTATATTGCTGTGTGGGATGTACTTATATTAATAATATTGATTGAATCCTCTAATTGAGCGTCTTGCGTTTCTAAAAGGAATCCAAATAGAGTAAAAGTAACTAGAGAAATAAAAATAACTTTTGTGACACTTCTCAATAGCAAAAGTACAGAAATTGAAATTTACCTAAAAATTAACCAAATAATGACGACATTTTAAACGTCATTTTTTTACATAAAATGACGTAATAATAACGTGTGACATATGACGTATGGCTAAAAAAAATATTAAAAAATATATCTTGCAGAAATAATTGCAATTAGTCAGCTTATGTTGATTTTAAATAAAATTTAGCTCTTTTATCTGATTTCTCACTTTTTTGTTTCTGAAAATTTACTCAGTACTGGTCGGAGATGCCATGCACAACTTGCTAAATCGATTTTTGAACGAGTAATAGCACGTTCGCTAGCGATGTTGAGCATCAACACTTGCTATATCGAGCATCAACATCCTAACGGAGTTTGTGCCAATAGGCTTTTGTTTATGAGAAATTACAGTATAAAGTTTGTATTGCATATATGGCTAATGTTGCGGCTATCTTTCAATGAGGCGGCGTGACTGAGCAGACTGAGGCTCTCACGTCGAAAATTTTTGAGTCGGCAGCGAGCGTTCGAATCCCGGGGACGAGTCCATATGCGGTTTTTTTTCTTACCTTAAAGCATGTAATTAATGTTTTTCAAATACAATACATTTGTTTTACAGAAATTATAATTCGTCACTTGCATACGGTAATTAATTAGAAAAACGGTTTACGCATTTGATAGTTACATTGTGCATATATGTAAATTAGTGTGATTTGAAACCTATCTATGTAGAGCGCTTCAAGATTTGTCCTGCTGGAGGAGGAGAACGCAATGTAACACGCATTTATTTTTGCAAGGCTCAAACGCACTCGCAAGTCCGCGTGACAGGTCAAGGATCGGAAGGATTTTACTTTACTTTACTTACCTTTACTCCGTCGCGGACGTACGTTTGATGGCCCTTTTTAGATCGAAGAACCCAATCTTTTTACCTGAAATGGACCGCGTGAACGAATAGTCGGGGAAAGAGCGAATAAAAATGTGACGATCCGTAAAGTTATTGGATCATCACGACGATTATTCATTGTTTACGCTGAAGATCCGCGAGGCAAAGCGCCGAACATCCGCGAGATCGGCAAACAGTTTCGCTGTTTTCTAAAATTCGTATAAAAGCCGACGCGCAAACGAGATCGGGAGAGATCCGTCGGAGAGCTGCTTTGAGACGCTCAACCGAACAGAACTCGTAGCGAACCTTACCGCTTCCCAGACATTCCGTCAACTGAGTTGGATACGCGACGTCGACATCCTCTACCTGAACCGTTCCGTCGACCGAGGTAGATACGCGACGTCGACATCCTCTACCTGAACCGTTCCGTCGACCGAGGTGGATACGCGACGTCGACATCCTCTATCCAGACAGTTCCATCGACCGAGGTGGATTCACGACATCGACATCGGCTATCTAGCACCGCTCCGACATCGCATAACGCATCTCGCGTATACAAGTCGCGAGACACACCGCTACAACAACCGTTCCGAAACCGGCTTGGTTAAAAGCCGGTATCAACAACAGTTTAAATCCCGCTGAGTATACAAACTCACAACGCAGGCAATAGAAGATCACGAAACGACGTCGACCACGTCCCGCGACCCGCGCGCAAGCCTGGACGCTCGCAGCTGTCACCGCGACGACAATTAAGACTCACGACGTGAATAAAAACGCGACCACACACTAACGGCGTCGCGCTATCTGTAAATAATTGTAAATAGCGTTTACTTAAGAATATATTTTACACTTCTTATTACTTACGCCACTGCTTCAAATTTATTGAATTAAACCTCGGACCGCACCGACTAGGGGTGCGTTCAGGGAGCTCGCTACCACGCTATCAACGCTAACGCTACCAACTCTGTTCACGGAGTCATGATAGCGTTAGCAAATGTGAGCTCCGCGAACATAACATCGCAGTGTTATAACGTGAGTTCCGCCATTGTGAAAATCGTAAATACAATTAAACTTTAATCTTCAACCTGTAACCTAGTATATTATTCTCTCAGAACAGAAGTGGTGAAAAGGCCGCCGGAGTTAGGTTTGCAACCGTAAAGAGAGAAAGAGAGAGAAAATTAAACTTTAATTATAATAATGATGCAAATTCGAAGAGACGCAATATTAGCAGTTGTAGTAAGTACAGTGCGTGAAATAATGCATACATCATCATCTGAAAGTGACGACGAATTAGAAATTTTAGAAACTTTATTGAAGAAACGAAAAAATGTGCCTAGAGTTCAAAACTATGTGGAACTAATAGTACCAACGTTTACTGACCAACAATTTAAGACTCATTTCAGGTATTATAATATAAATAACATAATATGAATGATTTTTTTTTTAAAGGTTATCTTCATGTGATCTTAAATAGAACTTTCTATTGTATTTACAACATATTATTTTGAGTAGAAAACGCAAAATATAAAAAGCAATTAATGTTTTAGGATGTGTATGGAAACTTTTAATTACATCTTGTCTGTTATTGAACCAAAATTAAAGAGACACACATTTGGAACACCTATGGTTTGCACACGCAAGCAGTTTCTATTGGCATTATGGAGACTAGCTACTCCAGATTCTTTAAGGTAACATTAATGTAACTTCCTTACTGAGTTCAATGAGAAAAGTAGTTTATTATGTCGCAGTTGCATGGATATAATGTTGGTTTTAAATAAAACTTAAAACTTTAATTGTTGTACTTAAGTAAAAGTGACATTTCAAGTGCTTTAACTTATGTAAATTTTAACAAGATAAAAGCAAATTAAAATATTTTTTATGTTTTTTTATTTTGACAGATATTTTGATAAATTTAAATTTTAACTTTTTCATTTTGTTTGAAGGCAAAATAACGTTGATACAACTAGGTTCTAAATATTTTACGCTACATTGCTAGCAGCTTAAAAATCATATGATTTTCTACTCAGCAATTAGTAATATATACTTAACAAACATGTTTGTTAAGCAGTACTGATTTTTTCACTATATCATTAATTTTTACAAAAAATTTTTAATTACACGAAACTTACTGGTCGATAGTAGTTTTAACACTAATACAAAGTAGTAATTTTAACAGTAATAGTAATTTCAAGTGAAGCTGTTGTTAGAGTTGGTGCGGAAAGAGGAATTAAAAATTGCTCACTTGGAATCCTGCGTTTTACTGCAGAACTTTAAGAATGATTACTTTAACGGAAGCTTAGTAAAAATAGTTCTTAATGTTTTGATACATTATATACCCAAATTTGAGTGATCTCCCAAAATTGAGAGTAAACTCTCATTTTTGAGTGTTTACACACATTTTTCCGTAAGGGAGGTCTAGTTACCCCAACACTATTTGGGCTTTAAGAGAAACTTTAAAATTATTGTACCAAAGTAGAAACAATACCAAATGTACTTTAAATCGAGCTAATCTTAAAAAAAGTACTTTAAAGTACTTTTGGTATAATTTTTGCTTTGTGTACAATATATTTTAAGTTTAAAATCTCGCTTAAAGGTTTTAAGTTTAAAATCTCGCTTAAATAATGGTGCAATCGAGATTAAGTCCTCTCATCCAAATTAAAGAATTATTATTATAATTTCTATTTTCATTAGCCCCGGTTGCACTAACAATATTTTGACTTTCAAATAAAAGACTTAACATTTTAAATTTTTTGTACACTGGTGTTCATTAATTTCATTACTCCTTTTTCGGTGTAAAATGTAGATAAGCGTATCATCAAACAACAAAATTTAAATTTAGAAATCTCGTTTGAAGCTGAAATAATGCAACTGGTTTTTCATCTTTAATAAATAGCTCAGTGACTTACGAAGAATGTGATTATTATCATCCGCCGCCACGGTACAGGGGATAGGGCTGCTACAACTGCTATTACACGTTTCCGCACCACTAGATGATAAGGTTGATAGAGGTGCCATGTACGGCTTTTTACCAAGAAGACTTTCCATTATCTAAACAGTAAATATAATATTTAACCTTTTATACCAATATTAATTTGATTTTAAACGACACATAAAATTTTTATTTTCTTATACTATAGCACAAACACTTTCAGCTTTTGCTTTGACATAAGAGATTTAAAGTTTTCAGTCTCGCTTAAAGCTAAAATAATGTTGGTGCAATTTTAATATAACTTTATATGTTAATCCCTTTACTTGCCATCATATACTTACGTCATAATATGGCCATGTCCGTTTATTGTTACCGGATTTTCCATTGTGATCTTCTACTACTTTGTACGTGCGCTTCATTGTGTTTATGCGAGTGCTGCATTTCTTGCCAGTTACAAAATATCCTTTTCCGATCATTTCTTTTGATATTTGATCCCATGCTCTCTTTTGTGTTATCTTCCCAGAAGACATATTTTTTTCGCACAACCTGTATTCTTCTAATAAAAGTAACACTGCTGCATGAGACCACCTGAAACCTGGATTGCAAATTATTTTGGTAATATAGATAATAATTGGTTAATTGGGTTATATTCACAAAATGTTACAACTACTAACCATATTCTAAAGGTCTCTTACCTTCTCCTAGTGAATCCTCACTCGTATCATTATCGTTTTGCTCAGTAAGCATGGAATCTATTGCAGTATCTATAAGTAATACGTAATATTTGCTAAGACAATTATACTGTAATATAAAACATAAACAAGTAAAGAATTACTTATTCGTTTCTTCCACTATAGAATTATTATCTAAAGTACAGCTGCGATCAGCAGATGACTGAGATGCTAATGCTCCTAAAAAGCATAATTTATTGAAATATAATTTATTTATTTCATATAAATTATGTGATACACATATCAAGCAGTATTTCTTAGATAATATTGTACTAAGCCAATTTATAAAGATTACTATTTCATATGCAAATTACATAATTTATGTTAAGTTTGTCACTGAAATTGTTTATATAAGCAATGACTGTTAAAATATTCTTACCAAAACATGCATCATTGTTAATATTATTTGCAAGTCCAATGCTTTCACCGAAACATACATTATTATTATTACTATTATTTTTACGTGCAACATTCAACAGTGCAGTTGCAAAACTCATATCTGCAAGTAAATAACAAAAAGCACTTCACAGAACAGAAAGAAAAGCAGAAATTTTAAATAATGCCTTTAAGCACAGATGAAATGGCGCTATAATTGATTTAAAATTACCATGTATGTATGTATGTATGTATGTATGTGTTTTCTCAATCTAACTTAATGCACTACTTCAGCAGTGCAACGAAGAAAATAGACAATATATGGAGAATTATATAGTTGAAATAGCATCGAAAATCTTGAAAGTTATTACATATCAAACTTTGTTTATAAATGGCATCTGATAACTTTCAAAGTTTGTTTTAATACTGTCTAAACTGTACAGTTCTCCATATAATTTCTACTAATAAGAATAGAAGAAGCTCCTAAACGAAGACTGAAATGTTTGGACTTGTTAGCATTAGTCTTAGTGACTTTCATGCACAAAATAGTTAATATAACTATAAGAAGTAGTAGTAGTACAAGAATATTAACATGACTCTGTCAGAAGTTGATTATACACATAGTAATTTTATATTTATTAAAATGCTATTTTGACTGTGTTTGGTTATTAAAGGTTTAAATTTTCTTTCTTCAAAAAAGGAAAAACCCATAATTAAATATAAAATAAACAATTAATATTTAAAAATTAAAACAGCATTATTATAACAATTATAAACTTATTGCATGAATCACACTTGAATATTATACATTCATTATACAGGGTGTCCCGCCACTACCGCATTATCTCTTAAGGACAGATTCCTGAGGTAATTTGAAGAAAAAAATCCTAATGCAAAAATGTCGAGGCTATAATACTTTTCAAATTATAAACGATTAAATTTGACCAATTATATTGGTAAAGTACGCGCGCTCAGGTACGGTACAACACTCAATGATACAGATGCATGCATATAAGTGAGAATTTGCATAAGATATGAAATTAGTTATAAATCCCTGAAAGAAACGTCAAATGTATGACAGCTTACTGATTCTCATAAATGTATTGTGTGATATTTTATTCATAACATTTTGACGAAATTGTTATTATTTGCAATATGTTTATTTAAATGATAGAAAAGGCAGATTATTATTACATATATTGTTATATGTATAGAACTTCCGTATCAATATTTGGAAAAAGAACGATATGTACATGCGCCTATACCATTGTATGTTGTACCGTACCTGAGCGCGCGTACCTTAGCCAATATAATTGGTCAACTTTAATCGTTTATAATTTGAAAAGTATTATAGCCTCGCCATTTTCGTATTAGGATTTTTTTATTCAAATTACTTCAAGAATCCGCCCTTAAGAGATAATGCGGTAGTGACGGGACACCCTGTATATGTGAAATATTATTTTAATATGAAGCACTTACATAGGAATAAATGTAAATAGGATTAAAATAAATAGATGAAAGGACCCAAAGAAATGGAAGTTAAAACAAAAACAAACACCATTTACGTTTGCATTTACAACTGAGATAAGTATCAATACCTGAACATATACTTAACTCTGGACACTTTTATTATTTTGGTATACTGTACCAAATATATACCAGTAAAAATATACAAGTATATTTTCAATAAAAATAATTAAACTTTCAATGTAAACAATATTTACATACAATATATGTATACATATTCTATATATTGCAACCCAAAATATTTATATTTATAGGCTAAAATAATTGTAATATTCAGAATTAGACACGTATTCAAGCATTTTTATCTTATATAAATAATACAATAAATAATAATAATTGTACGCATAAGTATAAACCTAACCTAACACTCGCATTTGTGCCCCTGTTTGTGTCCTAAGGGCATCTGCTGCCGATAATTTGAATTGATATTGATCTTGCTTTTCTGCATCATACAAATTTATGTCTACAATATCCATTATTTTTATATGTGACATTCACGTAAAAATTTCAACTTATCATATCTGCTCACACTGTCACTGCTATTCGTGTCCACTGTCACTACCGCCAGCGTTCAAGGAGCTATCAAAACGCTAACGCTGCCAATGCATCACTTCGGAAGAAATAGTGTCAGTAGCGCGAAGTTATGACGTAGCACACCTCGATCAATGACGTCACGATAGTGTTGGTAGCGCTCTCCAGTAGCTCCGTGAACAGCGTTAGCGCTAAATAGCGCTGATAGCGAGCTCCCTGAACGCACCCTAAGTCTATCGCGCACGTAACGCAAGAGCGTTACAAATTGTAACCTCCCTGGCGGGAAGTGGTATTTTTCTGCAGACGATGGCTGGTCTCTGTTGTTATGGTATGTCTCTTGGTGCCCTTTTTCCTGGCGATAAGGGTTGCCCGGATATCTACTTCTCTTCCTCTATTAAGTAACAAATTGGCGCCCGAACAGATAAAGAATAAAAAGAAAACAGGCTCATAAAGAAAAAAAAATGAAGCAGTGGATCTATGCACTAACAAAAGACCAAATAATTAAAAAAATATCAGAGCTAGGACTGTCCACGGAAGGCACCCTAGACGACTTAAGAAGGAGATTAAGCAAATACGTGACCGATAATCCGCAATTTTTCGCGAGTAGGGATGAGTAGGAAAGATGAAGGAACTCAAGAAACGGAAATAACATACAGACACGACCTCACGATAATTGCGAAAATGATAAATCGCAAATGGGGATGCCACGTCGATGGGAAAGATCCGGTATCTTTTCTGGAATGAATTGAAAAAGTACAGATGAGTTATGAATACACAGACGAACAAATGTTACAGGGCTTATCTGAACTATTACGCGGAAGTACCTTACATTGGTACAGGAACAACAAAAAATTGTGGAAAAATTGGAGCGATTTCACGAACGCATTTCGTGAACAATACTTCCCGTACAGATATAAGGTACAATTAAAAATAGAGGTACAGAGACGTTGCAGCAAACGAACGAACCGTTCAGACAGTACGCCACAGAACTAGCGATGCTTATGAGAAGAGCAGGAGGATTCTCGAGAAGAGACCAGATTGAGCAAACATACAAGAATATGTCGCCAGATTTAAAATTATACATCAGAAGTGAGAACGTTCACACATTAGGAGAATTACCAGATCTGTAAATGTGAAACCGGAATTTGCCCATAGATGCCCTAGCTGTCAATGTAGTTACCGTCAAACCGCGTCATTGGCGCCATTTCCTTGTTGATTTCCCTGACAAAGATTTTCAACTCACAACAATACAAGTTTTATACAACAGCTATAGTTTGTAATAGCGTTGAACATGTCAAATTTTGTGCCTGGAAACTACGATTTGCGGACAGCATTGATTTTCTGTTACCATTTGAAGAAAACTGCTGCAGAATCACATCGAATACTTGTCGAAGCTTACGGTAAGCATGCTCTTGGTAAATCACAGTGCTTTGAGTGGTTGAAAAAATTCAAAAGTGGCGATTTTGACGTGAGAAACGAAGAACGTGGAAGACCACCGAAAAAGTTTGAAAACAGCGAATTGCAAGTATTGTTGGATGAGGATGACACTCAAACGCAACAACTCGCGGATCAATTAAATGTGACACGAGAAGCCGTCTCCATACGTTTGAAAGCCATGGGAAAGATCCAGAAGATGGGAAAATGGGTTCCACATGAACTGAGTGAAAGACAGCAGGAAAACCGAAAAACCACTTGCGAAATGCTGCTCGCCAGGTACAAAAAAAAGTCATTTCTCCATCGAATTGTGACTGGCGATGAAAAGTGGATATATCTTGAGAATCCTAAGCGTAAAAGATCATGGGTAACTCCAGGCGAACCATCGACATCGACTGCAAGGCCAAATCGCTATGGACGGAAGACAATGCTCTGTGTTTGGTGAGATCAGAAGGGTGTGATTTATTATGAGCAGTAGGTTTAGTATAGGGGTTCTAACCCATGGTCCTCTGAGGGGAGTGAGAGGCGGGGGGGTACCGCGGGCGGGGGTATGACGTCACCGCGGGGGGGGGGGATGACGTCACCGCGGAGGGGGTTATCAGCGGTAAATTGGGGGTCATACCGATGTTACCGACGGTCGGTAATTTTTACCGATATTATATAACATTTAATTACATAATTTTTTACCAACATATAATTTTTACCAACATATAATTACACAATACCGATAGTACCGACGATCGGTAATTTATTACCGATATTATATACCAACATTTAATTACTTAATTTTTACCAGCACATATATATTTTTATATAATTTTTACTGTCATATTTACATAATATTGATGATAGGTAATTACCGATATTATATAATATTTTCTATCTGCTTTCGATAGATCATTTTACCGATCTGCAGCGGCTTTTTCGCGGCCGTTTTTTTTGCGGCGGATTTTGCGGCGGTTTTGCGCCGTCCACGCTGTCGCGCCGTCCGCGCCGCCCGCGCCGCCCGCGCATTTCGCAGCGTGATTTTTTAGTCACAGCTGCAAACTCTAATATTCTGCAAACGTATGCATTCGACAATTAGATGCGCAAGAAAAAGAATGTGACACATGATATTCTTATTACTAATGAGCACGTACACTGTGCCCCCGCGACAAGATTTTGCGTGTTATACATCACTCGCTGCGCTCCATAAAAAGACCGAATAACATTTTAAGACTATTTGTGGTGTATCGAGAAAATATGGGAAAAGGTCTGATATACAGAAGCAGCAGATCTTGGGATTATAATTTATATATTTTGAAAGTGTTACATGATTATTTGTTTAATACTTCATACATAATATCATTCATTGCGCACGCCAATAGCTCACAATCGATGAATGAACCACCGTCAAAGTCCCCGCTATTGCGTATCGTCGATATTATCAGTTTCGGTAATATTCTTCTCTCGAAAAATTTTTACAAAATTTCTACATTTTGTATTAACAATGTGTGTATTTTCATATAACCATGAGTACATATGGTCAATGCAATGCTCGAGAGTAAACAAATGTTCCACTGTAGCTGGTTGCAAGTACATGCAGTTACCGGATAATGTGAGTTTTAAAAGTTTCTTGTCGTACATTGTGCACTATTCCACCGCCAAATCGCGAATTCATAGCGGAGAGGATGACACCTCGGTTGTTTGCAAAAGTTGTAAAATATCTTCACGTTTT